ATAGCGGTCTGGGTGATGTAGGCGTGCAGTACCAACGCCGACCTCATGAGGGAACCGGCCTGGTATACGGGTCCTGCAAATGATCAGTGAGTGGACTCAAGAAAAGCAGACTCGGAGCGCTGGGAGTGGCATACGGGTGTGGGGGGGATAGCCATTAGGAAGCCCTTTCACCAAAGCCAGAGAGGTAAAGGAGTGCACCCAGCATGCGATTACCGCTCCTCTACCACACCGCGGGTTGCGGTAGTAGAGCACCAGCTCAATGAGGCCTGCGAGAACATGCCATAAGAGGGCTACAGAAACCATTAGCTATGGACCGGCCTGCACTTGAATACTAGCGAACCTGGATGCCGGGGTCGATACGAGCGGGTCTTGTTGCACAATTGATAGCCTAGAAAGACACCATAGAGTCCTAGGATCAGAAGATCAGAGTCATTCGTGTGAAATCGCGCTGTTTCCATCGCGAAAGCGGTTGTTGCTAGATGGCTGATTGCGTCGTATCACACTAGCACGGCATCATTGACATTTATAGTTATGTCCAGACGTCGACAACCAGCCGGCGTGAGATCTGACATAAAGCCCAACGGCTGTTTCTCAGGCATTGATACCGTAAGCACCAATACTTGGACGAGCGCCGGTTCTACAGAAAGCCGTCACTTCACGCTACGCCCTGACAGGTTCGGCCACGAACAGGTCATGAGCCCGTCCCCAGCGCCTCTTGCAACTGTGCAACAGCCTTGCGTTTGACCCATCGATTGCACAATTGAGCGATAGCGCTTAGCGGGATAAAACTAGTCGTTTCCAAGGCGTAAGCTCAGATCTCCTCATACCAAATGTCTGTCCTGTAGCCGAAGTTCAAACGAGCCACAGTGCATTACTTCGATAAATGAGCAGACGATCCTTGCCCATCACTGCAACATCTCATCATTCGTTGCTCTATTTTCCTTGGTCATGGAGTACCCGGTAGACCCACAAGTGCAGCAAGAGAATCGATTCTCCGATATCGCGAGTTTGTGGGACCGGGCAGTTGGAGACGTTCTTGTTTGCTTTGCTGGCCTCTCCTTCACAAAACAGCCACCCGTGGCTTCGTACCATGATCTGGAGCACGGCTCTCCGTTTGCCGATCAGGAGTACGCCGGCGGATTGCAGGCTTGTGTCATCGTTCGGTATCATGAGAGCCCCATCGGTAGGTCGAGCTCTCCCGAGGACTTTGCAGCTGCTGACCACGGTGAAGGGATGTATGATGAGCTGCTTTGGATTCCAGGTGCATTCCGGCATCCAGGCAATGGGAAACAGGCCTATCGCTGTACGAGGGCGTACGTATCGAAGCCGTTAGCTGTGCACAGTGGTAAGCCACCCCGTGATGTGATCTGGTGGCCGAACGGAACCCACACAACCTGCGATGTAACATGATACTGCGGCCAGGCTGACGAGCTCATTTTGATATAGGCCGCAAAAATTGGAATGTGCCCAAGGCAGTAAGTGAGCCTGATTCTCCCTTTCTCTCGTGTTCCTCGACTCTAATACTTCGGCTGGCTTAGTGTGCCGTCTTTGAATTCACACGATCGCAGTCTGCCAACTTTCCATACAGTCGAATCACAGTGTCACCCTACCGCGGTGGCGAGCCATTCCTTGAC